CCCCGGCTTCAATTTCCTAAGATTCAGGCCTCAGACTTTTGCTGCCCTTTACATTCCCTTCCCTTCGGAGTAGTCATAATACTCAAAAACTTTGACTGTCAACATTACTAATGATTTCATAATATGTAATCATAACGCTGAAAACTTTCCTGCACACCCTCATATTGTTCCAACTCTTCACTTTGACACAGCTCCATTTAGATGCCTTACCAGCACCTCAAATTCCATCAGCCCAGGTTGGTTCAGAGGACAAGTGCTGCCTCATCTTCTGTGGGCAGTGTTTCCAATTTCAGTTTAATTTTCAAAGCTTTTGATATCCTGTTTTGGGTCTTTCCCATGCATGTGCAGCTCGGGGGCAAGTCTGGGGCCTGTGCAGGTTCACACATAGGATTAGGGATCCCATTTTCTAGCTCTCTTTTTTCCAGTGTTTTCTACACCCTTTCTGGCCCACAGGGCCTCTTTTCCCAGTTAGCCTGTCTGGAAATACAAGTTTTCTATTTAGTTTTAGCTGCCCATCCTTCCATTCAGTTCCCAACGGGGGCCTGCAAAGCCATGAGAGAAAAGAAGTAAAAACTGGGGATTCCCTCCCTAGTCTTTGACCTGCAGGGGCCCTTTTTCCTAGTTATTCTGGCCAGAAATCTGGGAAATCTATTGCAGTGTTAGCTACCTTCTCCAGTGCCACCACGTCATTCCAGAACTGGAGCCTGCCCTCAGCGCAAACCAAGAAAGAAAAGGAAAAAGAAGACAAAAAAACTCATGCCCCTTCACAATATACCTGCTTTAGTTTGCTCTCTGAGTTGTCAGGAAGTTGCGTTATGAATTTTGTCCAGCGTTTTCCTCGTAATCAGTGGGAGGGAGGCTGTAGTGGGCTTGCTCCATCTTGAGGCTAAAGTGGGCTTATTCCATCTTGATGGGAACTAGATATTTCATTATATTTATATTTAATTTTTCTTTCCTTACATCTTATCTTCTTTCCCCCTTTTTGTTTATATTTTTAATATTTCTCCTGGCCTCATCTCTTGTTTTCCGTCATTTTGATGATTTTGTTCTATATGTTTATTAGTTGCCATCAAGTCCATTTCGACTCACAGTGACCCCATCTGTAGAAAGTTCCACTCTTTCAGAGTAGAGCTGTGCTCCATAGGGTTTTCAATGGCTGATATTCTGGGGAAGTAAATCTCCAGGCCTTTGCTCTGAGGTACCTCTGGTAGACTCAAAATTCTAACCTGTCAGCTAGTAGCTGAGTGCGTTAACTGTTTGCATTACCCAAGGATACACACTCTCTCTCTATATATATATATGTACCCATAACCCAATAATAAATAGCTATATCTTTAACTATCTAGATTTATAACTGTATCTATATTTAAACTTTTTTGAAGCATAACACACATACAGAGTGTGTGAATATGATAAACATACAGCACAATGCATTTTCGAAAATGGGGCATAGTCAGGTAACTGGCACCTAGATCAAAACAGTACACGTTATCATTACTCCCAGATTTCCCCTTATGTTCTCTTTCAGTTACCCCACTCCAAGGTTACCCCACTCCAGAGATAATCAGTATCCCAATTTCTAACACCATAGATTAATTTACCTGTTGTTTTCTTTACATAGATAGAATTTGTGTCTTTTGTTTCTGAGTTCTTCTGTCCAGTACTGTGTTTGTGAGACTCATCCATGTTGTGTGGAGTTGTAATTTGTCTGTTTTTAGTGCTGTACGATATTTCATTGTATGAATATACCGAAATTTATTTATCAATTATACTGTCACCAAATTTTTGTTCCCACTTTGGGGCTACTACAAATAGTGATGTGTGAACATTCTAGTACGTGACTTTTGGTGAATATAGATTTCTGTTGGGTATATACTATGGAATAAAATTGCTGGGTTACAGAACATGCATATTTTCAGCTTCAGTAGATACCCAAGAATATGTATTTCAAAATAATTTCCCACGTGATTCTGGTACACAGCAAGGATTGTGAATGGCTGCCTTAGAGCCTACCATAACTTCTTGTTCTCCATCTCCTATTTCCTCTGTATCTGTAGGCCAAGAGGCATTTTTCTACCTAGCCTAAGAAGCTGCCTTGAGCCTCCACATAGATTTCAGAACTACAGCTGTCTTGACCTCTCCAGACCCCACTGAGACCAGGATTCAGCTGCGAGCCTACATCTCAGACCAAGACGGCCCTAGTTGCTAAAGGGAAAGCAGACCGTGAAAGTTTAAGTTCAGGAGGCTACTTGTACTGTCCCCCCCACCCCCACCCCATTCTGCACAGGGGAGCAGGGCTTCTCTTGCTTGCTCAGGGCCTGTCATCCTTGTTCTCACCTCTCCCACTTCTAAATTCCTTGGTTCTACACCAAGCATTCATACCTACTGTTACGGATTGAATTGTGTTCCCCCGAAATGTGTTATAAATCCTAACCCCTATATCTATGGATGTAATTGCATTTGGGTATAGGGTTTTCTTTGCTATGTTAATGAGGTCATATCAGTGTAGGGTCTGTCTTAAGCCAATCACTTCTGAGATGTAAAAAGACCACATTAGGCACAGAAGCAAGCAAGTGGAATGGAGGAAAGATAGACAACACGTGAAGATCTCCAAGGACTGCTGAGAACTCTAGAGAAGCTGAGACAAGGATTTTTCCCCCAGAATGGACAGAAAGAATCTTCCCCTACAGCTGGCACCCTGAATTCAGATGTCTAGCCTCCTAAACTGTAAGAATATAAATTGCTGTTCATTAAAGCCCCCCTTTTGTGGTATTTCTGTTATAACAGCACCACATAACTAAGA